CTAAAGGTGCTCAAGATGGTGAGTTTGTGATGGTAAAGTGCATTTTCTATTGTTTCTGTCTCTAACGGCAAGACAAGAGAACCAAAAGGAAAAGATCTTTCAAGAGGTCCACACAGCAAAGTGATACGCAATTGTATTTATTTGATATGGGAAAATGTTCAGAGCCCGTATTAAGTATAAGGAGGGTTAACAAAAGTATGTGTTCAGTTTGATATTAATTTTTGTTTAAAAACACACACACATGCATTGAAAGAAGTCTGGAAATATATACACCAAAATGCTAACTGTGGTTTCCTTGAGTAGTGGAAATGCAGGTGATATTTCTTTTCTTCCATTTTTAAATCTTTATATCCTAATTTATCTACAATAAACAAGTATTAATTGTGAGCGAACGTGTTATTAAGAATAAATGTGTGGGGCGCCTGGGTGGCTCAGTCGGTTAAGCGACTGCCTTCGGCTCAGGTCATGATCCTGGAGTCCCAGGATCAAGTCCCATGTCGGGCTCCCCGCTCGGCGGGGAGTCTGCTTCTCCCTCTGACCCTCTCCCTTCCCTCTCATGTGCTCTCTCTCTCTCTCTCTCTCAAATAAATAAATAAAATCTTAAAAAAAAAAAAAAAAAGAATAAATGTGTGTATGGGAGGGCATGCCAGAGCAATGGGTCTGAATCTACTGCTGCCTGTCTTGTTCTCCACGGTGGAGACAGACCAAGAGCAGAAGCAGAGTTGGGGGCAACAATGGCTCTCCAGAACCTGTTTTCCAAAAGAAGGACCTTTTCGACAAATTTTTATAGCTACATTGACATCACCAACATTCACAGAGAACGTCTTGGGCCGCAAAGCAAGATCCAGAGACTATGGCACTGTTATCAGACGTCTGCCCCTACCTTTCAACCTGGTCTCAGCTCTGAGACGGCAAAGCCCAGCTGTACCTCTGAACGCACATGTAGGCAAGGACATCTGGGTGTGTCTTTGGCCAGGATGCACCTTTTTCTTAAAGAAAAATAATGCACCTTCTAGATTAAGAGGGAAAGAAGGAGCTGCCAACCTGCATCTCGGCCTGTATCTCAAACCCCAGGCTCAGCTGGCACCCGACACAGGTTGTCACAGATCAGAGAAGCCTGACCCTCTTAGCCCCACCTTCTAAAAACCTCATCTTGTGGCCAAGTAGCAGAAGGATCCAAAAAGTCCACTGGAAAAAGTGCTCCTCCCTATGTAGGTACATGTGGGTGTCCGTGATGGGCATCCATGATGGAGACCCTCTGTCACCTGAGACTTCAGCCCATGCACCTCCTTTTCCTAGCACTTCCTTAGAACATGGTAAAATGAGCCTGGGTGGCTCAGTTGGTTGAGCGACTACCTTCGGCTCAGGTCATGATCCTGGAGTCCCTGGATCGAGTCCCGCATCGGGCTCCCTGCTCGGCGAGGAGCCTGCTTCTCCCTCTAGCCCTCCCCCCTCTCATGTACTTTCTCGCTCTCTCAAATAAATAAATAAATCTTAAAAAAAAAAAAAAAAAAGAACATGGTAAAATGTATGAAATAATGCTTTGGGCTCAAGGCTTTGAGAAAACTTGAGAAAGGAGGTTATATCGTAGCCAATAATGGATTATACGGATGAGACTATACAATCGGTACCCCCAGGTATCTAGACACCGAACTTTCTCACCCACTGCCAGCTGGCCTTGCAACGTGCGGCTGCTAAATAAACAAGGAAGGACTCATGTTTTAATTTAGATGACTTTGTGCTCCATAACTTGTCCATTTTTTTTTTTCTTGGAGCCAGAGTGTTTGTTATTTCTTTGCAATTTCAGAAGTTATGAAATGATTCATGGTTTTGTTGGAGCTGAAGTCAACCAAAACCATTCATAATTGTGAACAATCTCTGTTATTGTTAGAGGGAAAACGCCAAGGCATCTGTGCTTCCCAAAAACACATGGGGGGAGAATTCCAGTTTGGAAATGGAACGGCTGTGCTTTTCCCCTTAGAGTTAAATTTACACAGACTGATTTCCAGGGAGATCGTTGCGTTCTTCTGGTTGGAACCAGAATGTGATTTCTCCTCTCTCCTTCCTCTGTTGGACACAGGGCATCCACGTGGTGACACTCTGCACACTGGTAATGACCCAGTAGAGGCCAGTCTCCCTTCCGAGGGTGGGATTCATGCAAGTAGCACCATATCGATCTTATTCACCCCAAAATACAGCTTGCACATAGTAAGTGCTTAAAATAAATATCTGTTGGATGACTGCACAGACCGCACTAGACTAATGTTATTATTATTTAGTTCTTTGATTCTTCATATTTATTTGTGTTGGTTGATAATACCTACAACTGTAAGAGAGACTAATCCAAACAAATCGAGAGAGAAGAATAAAATGATGGTGATGGTGATGGTGACATTTAGGATGATGATGGCAAATGCTCTCTGAACGCTTTTTATCTGCCACCAGCATGCTAAATACTTTATATAGAGCATTCCATTCCACTCAATCCTCACGACTTTATAAATTAGGTTCCATTATTATTCCCATCTTATGGATGAGGTATGTGAGGCACAGATAAATGAAATAAACTTAGCCAGGACTGCCCAGTAGTTAGTAGTGGAACTAAACACAGACATCCAAATGTGCCAACCCATACAGTCCACCAACACTTTCTGCCACTGGAGAAAGCACTTCTGACTACCCCTTCCAGAATGTATCCAGTATCTGAAAATATTTAATGGTGGTAAAGCCTCATTCTCTATTGAGTGTCTTCAGACTCTGAGTCTGAATTTGTGAAACAAACCAAAGTTATTCAAAGCCATAAGGTATGTGATGATCACAGAAGTTTGGGAACAAAGCTGCTGGTGTGATGATGAGGCCATGAGACCAGTTTGCTCTGCTAAGTCATGGACTAGCCAGGAAAGATCACTCCAAGAGAGAAGCAATGTGGTGTAGCGAAACAGAGCACTGGACTGGGAGTCAGGAGTTTTGTTTGCAGGATGACCAAAGACTGGTAGTTCATCTCTCTGAGCCTGGCCAATTAAACTGACGGGGCTGGCCTGGCCCAGTGAGGTTCAGACCTATCGGAAGTTATATGTGGGAATCTCTAAGGTCCCTAAGAAGGGTACCTCTACTTCCCCTTCCTCTCTTTCAGTCTGCCTCTGACAGTTAATTCCGCAGATTTAAACTGATCACTGTGTGTGTGTGTGTGCGTGTGTGTGTGCGCGCGCGCGTGCAGGGAATAGGAAAGCTACAGTCTAACATAGGCTCCCTTCTCCAACAGTTCTATGAAAGTTTGGAGTCTTCCAGTATCAACTACGGCCAGAATTGTCCCTACCACTCATTTCTTCTCTTCAGAGGAGATCAATGTAGATTTGCCAGCAAAGTCAACCAGTTCAGCATCTTCAGGAAAGATCTGAGAAGCAATGATGGGAGAACATAGTTTCCTCTTTACCTAAGAAGTCAAATCAAGCATGACTGCCTAGACTCAAATGGAGACTGGGCTGACAAATGATAAAGTCTTTATCTTAAGACCAATGCTTAGCTTCCCCATGTCAGAATGCGCTATGACCCAGACTCACCATCTCAGGTGAGTCCTGATCCCTCTTTGTGATGATTTCAAATGACAAAGACTTACCCAAATCGTGTACATAAAGTGGCCCTCTATTTCCCTTCCTGTTGGACACATGGCTGTGAGATGCACACAGGTCCAATGGTGAAGATCAATATCTTACCTCCTGCCAGAATCAATGCACATTCATCTTGGTCTCACAGGCTAGCTGCAAGGTGGGATTACGCTTTCTTAGTCCCAGGATAGAGCTAGGTGATGCGGTCAGAGGGTAAAAGGATGCAGAGGCTGTAGCTCGGACAACAGAGCAGTCAGGGAGGCCTGAAGAAGGCTGGGCACGCTGCACATCTCAGTCAAAGTCCCATGAAAGTGGCAGGTTCTTTCTTAGCAAGCATTCCACCATGAGCACTACCTTTGGAGACAAGTTTTAGATTGGTGTGTGCTCTAAGGGGGGCACCCCAGGAGCTGAGGGGAAATGCAGATTGCAGAGGCTGCCAGAGTGAAGGCCATTCACCTGCCATGTGTCCTGGTAGCCTCTGTGGGCATCAGCTTCCTCCTATGTAAAAGGGCCAGGTGGGATACATGCTCTCTTTAAGCTCCTGACTTCTCTGTGATTCTAAATCCACTTCATGTTTCTGGATGAGCTACACGGACTGAACCTTTTGTTAACATCCTGATGGCACATGCAGTCACAGGGAAATCCCGGAATTTCACATACTAGAAGAAATAACTCATCGCAATCATCAGCCCTCAAGAGGGCACAAACCTGATACCCTTTCCCCTGCCTCCAACCACACCCTCAGAGTTGTGAGCTGTGGCTAAGCATCTCTGCCTGGTCAGAGATTGGGTGTCATCTGTGGATCTCAAGCACCTGGCCCCACATTTAAGCTCCCGGGGGAGCTGGGGGTAAGAGAGATATGGATAACATTTGCAGGGGAAGCTGGTGGCTGAACCTTCACAAGCCAGGTGCAGTACAGCTGTAGATGGCCATTCACTTGTCCCCCTTAGTGAAACAGATCTCTGACCCAGACCATTGACCATGGGGAGAGAGGCAGACTGGTTTCTTCAATTCTCAGGGCTAGAACATGCTCTCTTGGGGGAATCTTTGAGGTGGAAAGGGCCATCTACACACCCACTGTGGTCACTAGAATGAGTGTTGTGGGGATGGGGGAGGTGGTGGTGCTGGTCCTATTCTGAACCATGTGCCCTCAAGAACTCCCATGCTCTCAGAGAAAACTCTCCAGATATGAGAAGCAAATGACCCAGGGACTGGGGGAAATGGAAGCTGCAGAACTGAGAGAAGCTGAGTAAGCTCTGAAATAGTTCATAGGCTCACCCAACCTTTCGCCTTTGGTGGGATCTCTCCAAACTGGCTGTTAGAACCCCATGGGAGAGCTGAGGAATCTCAGGCCTGGCTGAATCACAGCTAATCTCTTTTTCCAGCTGCACTTCCTGAAAGACAGCATTCAGCTACAGGACTCAAGCATTTCTGTCTACCCCCTCTCCAGAGATCAGTCTGATATGCACCCCTCCCCAACCGTAAGTATCCCCAGCCTAAGGACATTCTGGGCCAGAGGGCCAAGGCCATGAGCCTGGCTGGTCACACAAGTGTTGCTTAGACCTATGCCACTCCCTAGACTGGTTGCCGCTAGGTCCTCCAGCCATAGAGAGTGGGACAGACAGACTCCCCTTGGGGTGTCACCAGAGATCGGGAGGCTTTGGGCCACTCACAGTCCTTAAAAATACCTAAGTCTGGGTAAACCCTGGCTCCTTTAGGAATAAAACAATGTGGGAACACACTGCAATGAAATAGAGTGGAATTAATCTCTCAGCTTACATAGCCCAGGCAGAGTTGAGGTTACTGAAGGCAAAGAGAGGCCAGGGGCAAATCAATATCACAGCTTCCCAGCAGAGCCGGGTCAGCACAGAGTCTGGGTTGCTTATTTTGGTCTAGTGCCTCGGTTTTGTTTCCTCAAGAGAAAATAAAATCAACATTGGCAGACCAAGGGTTCACATGCCATTTTGTGGTGCAAACCCCAGCGGAAGGGATGTGGAGCCTGTGGTGGGGAGGATGGCAAGGTGGCTGGCCAAGGGGTTCTGGGTCCCGCTTTGACAGCAAGGGCTACTTCTCCTTCTGGAAAGCAGCGGTAGGGGCAGCCTCTTTCCTGCGACACTCCAAAGGTAAAGTGTTCTCACGCTGGCAACTCTCTGGCTGGGGCAAACACAGACCTGCGTGCAATAACCAGGAATAGAAATCCACGAGGCTCATAACCTCGAGGCCCGAAACGTTCAGATGACACTGTCACCTTCCAGGAAATTACCTCGCACTTTGCTTCTGAGTTCTACACCGTGACTTGCATCTTCTTGGGTGCCGGCTCCCCATTTATGCAGAGAAGATAGGGCAGAGGAAGCGAAAGCCTCACCCTGCAGAAAGCAGCTCATTTTTAACCTGGTACCTGCTCTGCTGGAATCCAATTCTCAGAAATGTGCTTTGCTGTCCATACAGAGGAGATCATCCATTTGTTTTCCCACTCATTCAACAAATCTTTACTAAGCATCTACTATGTGCCAGCCCCTGTTCTAAACACTGGGGGTACAGGAGTGAACAAAACAAAGTTGCTGCCTACAGAGAGCTCTCGTTCCAGGGATAATAATACTAATAGACAAGTGTTTAGTAAATGCTGGCGTTGCACGGCACACAATACTAAATGGATCTAAACATGGATCTCATGTTGTCCTAAAACAGCCTTAGGCAGATACTGTGAGCACCCCATCTAACAGGCGAGGGAACTAAGGCTATAGCCAAATTGAGTAACACTCCCTGGATACGGCAGGATTCAAACCCACTTAACTGCAATGACACTCTGCCTCCCAAGCTATGTGAGCATCATTGATGCCACTTCCGGACGGCTTGTCTTGAAATCCATTTGTGTAGAAGACGTTGTTTTACTATTCTCACGAAACAGAAAGAGCCTATACGCTGTCTTAAGACAATAAAAACAGAATCACAAAGATATAAAGAAGAGATGTCCTCATGAAGATGTCTTTCTTTCGTCCTTAGTAAGAAGAAGCAAAAGGCTAGTTGGGGGGACTCTACCTCTACCCCCTTTGAGGACTATTTTTTGCCCCAACGTATTTTACTATTAAAGTAAAAAAAAAAAGAAAAACCCCAGGAGTGTATAAAATAGAAAAGTTTGGTACTCCTTTGAGTGAGGGATGTAGTTGGTCTGTGGTTGGAGGAGACCAGGTCTGAGAGGCCGACAGTTTTTCATGCAAAAAAGAGTTCTGAGGTCAAACAAGTGTGGGGAATGCTGAATTATACAAAAAGAGTTGCTGAGATTTTTTTTTTTTTTTTAACTACAGAACTTCTCAGAGCCTTTCATATGCTAAGGACCACTGTGTTTTTCCAAGATAGGGATTTAATTGGCAGCATTTTCTAGACTTCCATGCCTTACAACTATTTTGTGGGGAGGTACAGAACACATGTTAAAAGTTCACGCAATCAGGGGCGCCTGCATGGCTTGGTCAGTTAAGCATCAGAGTCTTGGTTTCAGCTCAGGTCTTGATCTCAGGATCATGAGTTCGAGCCTCGCATCAGGCTCTGTGCGCAGCATAGTCTACTAAAGTTTCTCTCTCCCTCTCCCTCTGGCCCCTCCCCACTGTGTGTGTTCTCTCTCTCTCTAAACTAAATAAATAAATCTTAAAAAAAAAAACCCTCATGCAATCAGAATTCCAAGGACTACGAACTTGGGAAACACTCGACTCACTGGAACTCCTTGCTTTAGTCTGAAACATCATTTGTCTCACTGGGTACATTTCTGAAGATGTATGCATTTCTCAGCAACTACCTCAGATTTCTAAGGTTTAAGGGGGGGGTCCCATCATGTTAAAGCAGGCATCGGGAGGCCCTTGTGAAGGTTTGGGGGATTTTTTTTTGTAGGGGAGGCTGTAGGAGGAAGGAAACATCAAAAGAGAAACAAGAGTAAAGTAAGAATTAAAAAAAAAAAAGAGCAGGTTCTAATCTGGGCTCTGCCATTGTCTTGCTGCGTGCCCTTAGATAGGTCCTTTACCCACTTTGGGCATCAATCCCCACTTACCCTTCTGCAAGAGATGGACTAGATGGCCTGGGGGCCCCTCCAGTTCCCACAATCTCTCTCTCGCTATGATCTGCCACCCAGTGGCGGGCAGCATGGGGTGACACTGTAACTGAGACACACCTGCCTCCAGGGACCAGGCTCACCTTGCTGAGGGCCCTGCCCTGCTGGGAGGGTGGGCGGGCGGGGGAGGAAGGGTACCGAGCCTCAAAGGACCAGAGGCCTCTAGGGCAATACAGGTTGGGCCACTGGGGAAATCAAAACCCCTTGACTTCAGATGCCAGTGCCTGGTATTAAGCTTGGTGAGTTTTGAAAGAATCACAGTCTGTGTTCAGATTTATGTAAATGGATCAAAAATCTGGGGGGAGGGCGCCTGGGTGGCTCAGTTGGTTAAGTGACTGCCTTCGGCTCAGGTCATGATCCTGGAGTCCCGGGATCGAGTCCCACATCGGGCTCCCTGCTCGGCAGGGAGTCTGCTTCTCCCTCTGACCCTCCCCCCTCTCATGCTCTCTCTCTATCTCATTCTCTCTCTCAAATAAATAAAATCTTTAAAAAAAAAAATCTGGGGGGGATTCACTCTTTTCCTTGATCCAGTCCCTCCCAGGTGATCCCCCCAACACTATTATCTCTCCAATCCTATCCTATCACTGCCTCTCCTTCCCACTACTACCTACCTGTCTGTAAGCACCTCTGGGTACTCCACATCCTGCAGAGGCCCCCAATCCACACATTTCCCTCTTGCCCACTCCATATCTCTTGATCTTCCCAGAACTGCCCAATTCCTCCCAGTACCTTAGCACTGTACCCAGTTCTTCCGGTCCCCCACAACCCCCCATGCCTCCTTTTATTCATTCAACAAATACATGGTAAGCACACAGAACATGCCAGGTACTCTTCTAGGTTCTGGGGATATGGCTGTGAACAGAGCAGACCTGGCCCTGGCCTTCACGGAATGTCTGTTCTGGAAAGGGAAAACAGACAATGAACAAATAAATACATGAGAGGTCGTGGTAAGTGAAGAGTTAAGCAGAGTAAGGGCACAGTGAGCGATGAGGGGTGCCATTTTTTAAAAGATTTTATTTGTTTATTTGAGAGAGAGAGTGAGAGGGAGAGAGAATCTGTAGCAGACTCTGTGCTGAGCCCCGAGCCCAACTTGGGGCTCGATCCCACAACTGCAAGATCATGACTTGAGCCGAAACCAAGAGTCAGACGCTTAACTGACTGAGCCACCAGGCGTCCCAAGGGGTGCTATTTTAAAAGGCAGGGTGTCATTTTGAAAGAAGGCCTCCTGGAAGAGGTGACATTTGGTTAGAGACCTGAATGGAGGTGGGTGGAGTGAGTCTGTTCTCACCAAGCCAGCCACCCTAGGCTTCAGGGGGTTGGGACCTGGCTGCGCTGGGTCTGAACAAGGACCAACCAAGTCTGTCAGAGACAGAGTAAGCCAAAGTGCCCAAGTAATGGTGGCATCCTCTTTTGGACTTGGACATCCTCATTCTCCTTGCCTCTTGCTGTGTCTTTGGGTCCTGGCTTTAGGATATATCCATGGGGTGGAGGTTAACCAGATGGGAAGAGTGAACAAAACCTCAGCTCTTTTCCAGCAGAGACAGATATCCCGGGCACCAACTACACAGCCCTGGACTGCTACAGGGAGTCCAACAGATCACAGAGGGGTGTGCAGACCAACAGATCACAGTGGGGTGGGGCCTCAGTTTCCCGTCTGTGAAACGTGTGGGCTGGATGGAATGAATCTAAGAGCCCTTCCAGTTGTCAACCACTGTATGACTCTGAACACGCACGGACCGGTTTCCAGGAAGAGGTAAAACCAAGACACACAGAGGAAAGAAACCCCATCCGAGAGCCAGTGGAGCACCGTCACTCCCCCCTCAGAGACGTGATGGGAAACTCCGTCACTGGCATTAACCTAAAAAGAGGTCCCTTCCCAAAGGCCCTGGGTTCTCCCGACATCAAAGTCTTGTGGGCGGAGTCTCTGTGGTCCATTTCACATACCACGCTGGACCTCTGGTTTATAGAAAACAAACCATAAAGGTTATTCTAACAGCTCCAGGGCTATTTCATCCTCTCCCCACCCACTCCCTGACTGGGGAGGAAGGGCAGAGCTATAAAATCTGCTTGAGAGGCAAGCCCTTATCAGGGGGCCCGGCAAGGCACTGTTTGCTGAAGGCCGCGTTCGCCCTGGGGCAGCCACCATCCAGGTCTGAAACAACAGATGGCTCGGGCTCGCAAGTGAACATCCCGTTTCCTCTGGACAAGCCGTGTTTACACAGGGACGAGTAGCACGAGATCCCGCTGAGGGGATGGGAGAGACCAGGCCCCACACCAGGCTCCACTGTGGCCTCTGCCCGCTGGGCTGGACCATTCCTGGTGTACGGAACTCACACCAGGAGCATGCCACCCACGAGGTCAATGCAGAACTGCAGCTCTAAT